TTTTGGATCAAAACATCACCATGGTGATATTACCATGGACTTTCAGCCAGGCCAAGGACATGTTGGCTAAGGACAGTTCAAGAGTAACCCATGCTGGCTTCTGTTTTATTTCAAAGCTTTGTAGGTAGAACTCATTTCATCCATCTCCAAAAGTCGTTCCCCATAATGAATATCAAAAGCAATATTCAGTGTCTATAACAGTTTAATATAGTGGCTACCAATTAAGTATTAACTGGATTGATGTTTAATTAGACAGTTGATTTTAAAAAAAGAGCTTTTCTATTGATATGAAAATATATTCATTTATAAGTTCACTAAAAATGAAGATATTAATATTAACATCTGTTTATTCCTCCATAGGGCTTAGAGATCCTTGCACATAGTAGATACTTAGTAAGCGCCCATTACAAATGAATGAATAAATGAACAAATGATGATAAATCTCCACACTTGGATCTGAATAAATTTATAGAAATAGGATAAAGAAGTACCTTGATAGTGGATTGAAAGTACAGCTGTATTACATCAATTCTTACAATATAAAAATGCTTATCGTATGTCTTACAATATATAAAACATTATGATGGATGCTGTGGGAGGACATCACAGATGAATCAGACACCGAACTCACTGCAAAGAGACTTAGCTACAAATAACAGATTAAAAAGGGAAGATAATAAATGATTTAAGCGATCTGGGAAGAATCTCTTGCAGAAATCAGACATCTCTTCTGATCTTCCATAGCTTTGAAATTCCTATACCCATCACAGGTAACAGCTTCAAGATGTTTCATCCTTCCTTCTGTCTCTAATCACAGAAATCTCTATGGTTACATGGGCTATTCTCAAAAGAATTATTTCTGCTATGTCTGAGGGAACTCTGGTTCTCAGCTATGGCCTCACCAGCTTTCCGAAAAGTTATTACCATTTCATTAAATTTTATTCCTTTTTGAGTGAAGTTCTTTTCCCCTTCAAGTGATATATTCCAACTTCTTTAGTTTCCTAGTCTAGGATAATGGATTTATTTTGCCCTTTTAGTTTCAACTCAAAAGTAAGCAAATTAGGATTCATTATAGATTTCACTAAACAGTGTGATATAAAGCAGAGCTGTTCCAGTTTTTCTTTTCTACCACATACTTTGCTAACTTCCTATTGAGGTGATTAAGAAACCACACCAGATTAGCAGGAGCACAGGTGTTTCTTTTGATTCGATGCCAATTAATTGATGGCTAAATACTGTTAAATATCCCTAGGAAAACATTACCTCATATGAGGAACAAAGTTATAATCATTGTTACATTTAACACAAGAATTTCAGAAGAGACCAGTCTTTGTTCTTTATGACGAATCCTGACTAATTTTATTTTTGTTTCATATCTTAAAACAAAAGCTGTACCTCAGAGTAGGTTATCATATTATCTTGCCATCTTCATGATATAGACACATTCAAAACACTTGTCAGGTAAATAGGTCCAGTGCTGTATTTTCACACTACCTACACATTATGGGCCAGATATTAAAAAATTGGGACCATCAGGACTCAAACACCATTGCTTTTAGACCTGCTTGCTCAATGGAGTCTGAATACTTATTCCATTGGAAAATGATGTATATCACTTTATCCCTGAAGTATTTTTTTTAAAAAAAAAAGAACAACAAGAGCACGAGCACACTTGCATATTGCTTGTCAGAACAACTTTCTTTAATCATTATGTACAGCTTTCATTCAGAGTCCATTCCCAATGTAGAATGTTATTCCACTGACTTTTCTCTCCTATGATCCTTATGCCTCTTTATAATTGGGTCTCCTATACCAGACACGCCTAGCAGTCTGGGACACTGGACAATCTTTTTAGACTTCTTATTACCCCTGAGCCCTATTTTGAAAACAATCATTGCTGTCTTAAATCTCAAATATGCCAAAGCTTTCTCGTATTTAAAGGGATCTTTCAAATTTTCTATTAGTTTTTTCTTTACTTTTAGCTTTTATCTTCTTTCATTACCATGTAAAAAAGTCAAAGGATTAGATTTTTTTTCCATGGGAAGTTATTCATGTAAATGTTTCTAATTCTGTTATGTAGTTTTTCACAACTTATATATATATATTTTTTTGTTGTTTACATCCTAAAACCTATTTCTTTAATTTACAATGACTCTAGAAAAAGAGTCAATGTTTATGGTGTTGCCTTGTGTGTGGAATGGTGATCAGAACTGAAACTGGATGAGAGAAGTTTGAAGTATGATATAGGGAAATTGAAAACCTGGAAAGATGGAAGATGCTAAAAGAGCAGAGTTTGGGAGGAGGCAAACTGTACTTATATAGTAGAGTTGTTAATGTGCTGAATGGAATAATACTGCTATAACTCATGGTTAGTATCTACTGAGAAACTAGTTTGAATGGCCCTTCACCCTCAACTGAACTTCTGAATTCCAGATGCAGAAGATACCCAGAGCATATCTTCCTTAAACAGTAATTCAAAGTCTATTAAAGAGAACTTTGTCTTAAAGGGTATAACTCTGGTCTTTACAACTTCCATTAAAAAAGAAGTATATCAAATCTTTGAGTATAGACCCAAGTACTCAAGGGAATTTTCTCACCAGAACTTTCTTCAAAGGTTCAAAGAATCATCAGACCCTTAAATATGACTAAGCTGCCATATTTATAGAAATCTTATAACAATGACTCTCAGTCACTTCAACATTCATATTTATGATATTCAGTCTTGAAATTTCTCCGTATCCTGATTTCTTTACTTCTACTAATATAAGCCTCATTTAAAGGTTCATCATCTCATGGATGCTCTCAACTCATAACTTCCAACTTAACCTTTTCATACTTGCTCATTCCTCGCATAATTACACTTTCTGCCCTCAAAATGTAATAAGCATCTACTCTATACCGGGTACTCTTCCAAGCACTGTGAATATAATGATGCATTTGAGACATGTTGTCCTCTTCTTCATGGAGCTCGGCATTGAGCAGGAGGAACAGACAAGTTAATAGGCTATTCTAACATATCTCATTAAGTATTTCTACAGGGAGGCCAGGAGGTGAGGAGAAAATAAGAAGGGCTTGTTGGGGTGGTGAGCAAAATGAGACTTCCTAGAGGAGGAAGTATCTAAGCTAATACCTAGAAGAGGAAGAGGAAGGATCAGGGTAAGGGAATAGTTGGGTCATTCTAGGTAGATTTTCAGTTTCTGATTTAGAGCCTAACTCGTCAATTAATATGCACTCACAAGGCCCCTTGGTTTACACTATAGATATCCATAGTTTACATTGTAATACAGGATAGAAATAGAATATATTATCAGTCAGAAGATAATGGGAAAACTTGCTCATCTGTTTCAGCTATTGCTATTCAGAGACACAAGTTAGAAGCTATTTGGAAACTGATCCAGTAGGCAATAGCATTTATAGATACTGTAGTTACAGCAAGTTCTTTCCTCTTCTGAGAGAATAATAATAATTGGAATAACCTACTCTTATTATTTTTTGTTAAGGTTTAAATGTATTTTCTTACTTTAGCTTTAAAACAACCCTATATGATAGGTATCATTATTGTTGTTGTTGTTGTTGTTATTTTATGAAAGAGAAAACTGAAGACCAGGGAAGGAAGTCAATAGCTAATAAATGACTAATAAACAAAAGAATCACTATTCACAATCCGGCTTCTGATTCTAGTCTGCACTCTTAACAATTAGATTGTTGAGCAAAAAATAGTTGGGTACATTTTATCACGTCAAGACCTAAATATTTCTCATGTTCAGAGAAAACTCATACTCACCCTTTAGTGACCAACTCAAATATAATTTCTTTTAATTCCTTCCCCATTTTAGCCAGTGAAAATTATCAAGTATCTCTGCTAAGCAAGGTGCATGGTACATGCTAAGGTAGAATGATTGGCTGAAAGGATAAGTGAACGAATATATTTCTGTAACACTTAACACAGATTCTATCGTAGCTGGTCTTACACTGAATTATGGTTATAGTATTGTTTATACATTTATTTTCATGTTAGGCTATAAACTCCATGATGAAAGTGATGAGTTTTAATCACCTTTTTATGCCATCACCTAGCACAAATCCTGAAAGATGGTTACTCAGTAAATCAACAAGTGGCTTAGAGAGCAAATGAATAAATGAATGAATGGATGAATGAAAGAAAAAAATAGAGATAAGTGCTAGAGTGGTTAGAAATCCCAAAAGCATCAGTGTGTATTTTTTTGAATGTCTAAACATCCCCTAGCATTTATCTCATTTTCTTGCATATAGTAGCTATGAAAGATACAAGTAATACTTTTTAAGGGTCCATGTGCTTCTTTTTATTTATACAAGGTGATATGACTAGTTCTTGCTGTGAGCCAAAGTAATATGTGTCACTTTGGGCTTAGGTATATAAGGGTAGATATAAGTTCTCCACTTTCTTTCTTCTCCTAGTAGAAAAACCATAGAGATGACACATTGAGATCAAGGCATCACATGATAGAGGGAGCCTAGATACCTGTGTTATTAAATGGAAAAAGATCTCCTGGTGAATTATTGGAACTTCAAAGTACTTTGTGTGATTGAGATACATAGTTTTGTTGGTATAAGGCTTTGAAATTTGATGACTTATTTGTTA